AGTGCTAGGATTGCAGAAGTGAGCCACCATGCCCAGCCTTCTTTAAGATTTCTAAGTCTTAATAGTGGCAATAAGCCTCATTGCAATTAATTGTTACTACATTTTCTAAATATATCAGCTAGAACCCTGAAGGCAAATATTTTAGTTTGTATGGTTAAATAAAATTTATGAGACGCCATTGTTCTGGACTGAGCTCCTACACTAGGCCCCAAGAGACCAGACTAGACCAGAACAGAGTCACTGGGATTAAGCCAGTTTAAAACATCACCAACAAAAACCCAGGAGATTCACAATAGCCAATAGAAAAGCAGCCCAGTTGACCTGAGCCGCCATGATTAGGAAGTCCCTTCTGTTTTAACCCATACAAGGAAATGACAAATCTGCTTCTTGTGCCTTGTCTCCACTTTCTTGAGGCTTTTCTGCCTATAAGGCCCAGCCTCTCTACTCTCCTCAGCAGAGTGTCTTTCTATTTCATGGCTGGGAGGTTTCCCACTGCATGGATAGCTAATAAAAGTCAATTCAGTATTCAAAACTCAATGTGTTGAAGTTTTGTTCTTTGACAGTGTTGACAGGTATCTTTTCCAGAGCAATTGAATAGTGATGGTAGTGGTAATATAGGGAGGGAAAAGACAGGTACCGAAAACCTTAGGGATTAGAAACTGGTTCTTAATTTACAAATCTTGTGTGTAAGACATAAAAGCTAAGTGCAAAAAAACACACAAAAACTCACAAAGCTGAATACCTATAAGGTAGTACCTAAGTAAAATTTGGCTTTTACTGTGAAATTTTCTTCTTCTATCACCTTCTTTCTTTTATATGGCCTTTCAGATGAAGACAAGAATGCAGAGTTGGTGGATAATCCTAACTGTATGGAGGAGATGCCCCTTAAAAGCATCAGCATTTTTGAGTAACAATGAGAAAAAATGAGGGAAAATTGTTGTAAGACTTGGAGGAAGAGTTATTGTAATTCGCCTCTGATAAATCACCAAAGCTGATTGCAGTTATTAGAATATTGGGAGCAAAGAAAGGGGTTTTATCCCAGCTATGCAAAACTTATTTTACAAACAAAATTCCTACTTGGAAAGTGCTAACTTTAACAAGGGATAATGCCCTCCATTCAGGGTGCATATGATATACTTGTTTTCTATATTACTCCTAATAGTGGTTTTTCTTAAAGGACAAATCCTAGGAGATATTATATCCCCAAATATTCAGAGTGGACTTTTATACCTCCACTCTTTCCTTCTCCCAAAGACAGTTTATAGAAGTGATTTGTGGGGATGGATGCGGTGGCCCACTCCTGTAATCCCAGCACTTTGGGAGATCGAAGTAGGTGGATCACTTGAGCCCAGGAGTTTGAGACCAGCATAGGCAACATAGCAAGACCTTGTCTCTATTAAAAAAAGAAAGAAAGAAAGAAAAAGAAGTGATTTGTGGATCAAGCTAACCAAAAATGTATGGTGAATGTTCTTTCTTTTTCAAGCTTACTGAGTACAATGGGGAGCAGGATGAAAAGATCTGGAGGTCAGAGGAAGGGACTGAACTTGTGTGAAGATCTCACTATGTGTCAGGCCCATTGCTGTGTAACTTATCCTTTGCTATCCTTTGAAATAAGGGTTTTTATCCCAGTTTTACAAATGAGGACACCAAGACACTACGCTGCGCCCAACACAAGACAGCTGGTTATCTGACTCCAAGACTGTACACTGTCTTTCTGTTAGACAGAATTGCATTGCTAAAAGTATGGCTGTTGGTCTGTTCAAGTTGGTTCCCATCTTTGAATTCCCCTTAGGAGCTCTCTTTCTTGTTCCATGGGTTTTTTTCCCTGTGTTTTGTGCCCTCCCCTCAGCTAGCCTCTTTCTGAGCCCCTCCTTGGCCCCACGTCCACCTTCCTTTTTTGCATTGTCTGTGCTGTTCGCAGTAATATACTCAAGCCCCTCTCTTGGGGTAGCTGTGAACCTCCTTGAAGGTCTTCTCTCCCCTTTGACTTCTGGCACTTAGAACACCTTCCGCTTTTCATTTGGGATTTATATTCTGCCTTCTGTTGGGTGTTTCCTTCCATGCAGCTCAGGTCTTACTTAGATCCCGAAGGAGATGTAAGACCCTGAGGAAAGGGATGGTGCCTTAAGGCTCTTTGAAAGTCTCCACTTCAAGTATAAGACCTTGCAGAGTGGGTGCTTGCAAACACTGTTAAATACATGACTACAACCCTTTACAAGCTTTTCCCATGTTATTCTCTCCACCATTGAAATGGAAATAATGGGCCAGGGGCAGTGGCTCACACCTGTAATCCCAGCACTTTGGGAGGCCAAAGTGGGTGGATCACCTGAGGTCAGGAGTGCGAGACTAGCCTGGCCAACATGGTCAAACCTCATCTCTATTAAAAATACAAAAATTAGCTGGGCATGGTGGCGTGCCCCTGTAATCCCAGCTACTAGGAAGGCTGAAGTGGGAGAATTGCTTTAACCTAGGAGGTAGAGGCTGCTGTTACTGAGATCACGCCACTGCACTCCAGCCTGGGAGACAGAGCGAGATCCCATCTCAAAAATAAATAAATCGATAAATAATAAATACATAAATAAAATGGATTATAAAAAAACACCTCCTTGTTTTCAGAATTCCTACAAAAGAGATAACTTCTGGTAAATAAAAATTTTCCAAGACATGAATGAGTCATCAAGGTTTAATTTGTTTCAACATTCATTCCCAAGAACAGTTTATTTGCTTTTCTACAGGAAAATCTGCATTTTCCTTGTGGAAATAGGTGGGGATTTCAGGGCAGACTGAAGAGGAAGCTATTTTATTTGGAGATCTGTGCATTCCCCCCATGAGGGAGGCTGACAAGGACCATGGAACTCAACCATTGTGCGCAGTAGGATCACCACACAAAAGCAGCCACACTTTCTATGCTGTTCTTCCCCTTCACTCTCTTCCTTGAGATTTCTCAGTACTACTCTGTTCTTTTTACCTACACTCCTTGCTTCTCTCTATTTCTGCAAAGTGAGGTCTTATGGAGCTGACCTGGTTTCAGCATCCTTGCTACGCCTTTCTAGAATGTTCCCAGAAGAGGAGAGTCACAACCAATCTTGCCTTTTCTTCTACATGCCTCCAGTGACGTCTGGCTGGGCTCAGTCACCTCCTGGGTATTTTCCCACAACAGAAATCCTCGCGGTAACTCTGTAAAACCCAGCTCAGCTCCTATAACCGAGATGATCCACTTTTTAAACTTTAATTACGTTCTCATCATTTCCAATAAATTTCTTTCTGAAATACCACTTCCAAGACACGTAGCTTCCTATCATTAAGATTTTTTTTCATCTATTTGGTTCCAGGAATTGAATTTACTCAGAGGCATCATTGCCCAACTTCATGTCTAAAAGATTTGAGACAAAGCTTTTCAATCTGAAATGACAGGCTGGAAAACCAAGTGCCAGTTTTCCACACAAAAAATCAGAGATCCGTGCAACAGCTTCTTTGGCTCTGGCACAATGGGAAAACTAGTGATTGAACACTTCTCTGGGCTCAGCCCCCTCGCCCACCAATTTGTAAATTAGGCTGAGTTATTTGCATTTTTACAGTCTCAAACCGTTTGTAGAAACATGCCATTTTGCCTTTTTATACCCAAATAATAACGTTGCAAGAATTTGGCAGTTAAATGACATCTAGCTCTCTGATTTAAAGAGGGGGAAGGAAAGCCATTAGTCTCATATCCATCCTTAGGGGGGGGAAATACATCTTTAATAAATTATAGGAGAGAATAGTTCCATTTACAAAGCATTCACGTTTTCTTTTTTTCTGACATGTCGTGCTTAATACCAATTATCTATTTTTCCCTTCTTTTTGTGCTGTCCTCAGAATTCTTCCTGAGAAGTTAACTTTAATCTTCTGCTTTGTTTCAAAGCCTGTATTAGATTAACCTCTCTTTTTCTTTTTATTTGGGAATGACTAATTAGCAAGCAGAAATTAAATTTAAAAATTTAACTTCTCTGCACAGCAGATTTCTCAAGACCCTCAGACCCTGTAGGCCATATGAGTGGATTCTCCTGTAAAGCCTTTATTTCATGTTGTGTTGTGGTCTCCAGGAAGACAAAATGCGCTTTGGACCACATCAACTTGAATAACATACTGGGTGCCATAAATCGACTCTTCTGTCCCTTCAGGATGAGATTTCAGTGATTTTGAAGTCCAGAGTCTTGGAAAGAGAAGAAGAAATGTTCGTAGCCTAGTGGACAAAGGAATTTTGATAGAAAACACTGTAGATAATTATAGAATTCAGGACTAGAAAGCCCAGATATGTACTGGAACTTCTTCGTTAAAAGATTAAGACAATGAGATGCAAACCTAATTGTAGTCGAAGTCCGAAGGTTTATACAGGTCTGATTCGATTTCCCTGTTAGTACTCTCTCGAATGCACTGTCCTCTGGATATAGGCACAGGAATGTATGATCCAGTTTCATTAGCCTGGTCTAAATTTCAATTAATTGCTCCTTCTTACAAACGGTAACCCCAAGTATTCCTCAATACCACAGTTCATTCCTTTCTGATTTCCATTTTCTTCTTTTATCTTCCTTTCCCTCCCATCTTTTATTTTCTTTTGCTCTGATTGTTTTTACTTAGTAAAAGCGCCAACATTTTTTGCTTCCTGGGGAATGGGCACTTCTCTCAATTGTGGTCCCCAGCTCTGGTCTTTTCTGTCTCTTCTCAGGATCTATGCACATCTCTATCTCAAGCTCTCATCTCTCTCAGTCACTAGCCCAAAAGAACAAGGCTCCCTAACTCTCACTACTAACAGATGCCAGTAAAAGATGGTTCCCTTTATTCTATATGAATTTACATAGAATATGTTTGTTTTACATATGAACTGATGTCAAAAAGCAAGCTGGTTCTGTCTAAGAAAGCAAAGGCCTGAATAAGAGCAAGGTAATTGATTTAAAGATGGGGATGATCATGAAGATGCCATTGATAATTATAATACCTTGCATTTCTGTTGTTCTTTCCAGCATGCAAAGCTCTTTTCAATTTCATCATCTCATCCCACCATCACAACCCTGGGAGATCATTTAGATTCATATTAGTTTTGCCATTTTATATGAAAGCCAAGTCTTGGGTAAGTAAACTGATGTGTCTCAGGACCTCACTTCAGGAAAGATAAAATCAGTGTTCAAACCCATGTTTTAGGACTCTGAGCCCCAGAATGTTCTACTTCTCTGGAATGAAGTCTGATGTGATTGTGAATCAAAAGGATACCTCACTGCCTGGTAGTATAAGGTAATTATATTATCACAAAGGTTTTGGGTAAATATATGGAGAAAACAAATGTTGACAGGCCGATAAAACGGGAATAGCTCACTAAAAGGAGATTGTGTAATCTGTCCTTCATGAAGGATTTATCTGAAACAACAGGTTTCTAGTATTCCCTACAGCATTCCAAACCCTGTTTCCAGAAGACAATTTGGCAATAGGTATCAAAAACATTAAAGATATGACTAATGGTAACCTCAGACAAATGACTCAGCATCTCCAAAGTCAGTTTCCTCATCTGTAAATAGTAGGGTTTGGGGGAGGATTAAATAATGTTTTGTAAAGTACCTGGCACAGAGAGTGTATTTGATAAATATTGTCAATGTTTTAAGAGTAATGATGACAATATTTTCACTTGTAAGAGGAAATAAGCACAAAGATTTTGTGATAAAGACATTCTTTGCTGTGTTTTTACAAGTGGTAGTGAAAAGTTGGAAACAACCTGATTCCAGCAATAGAGAATTGGTAGAATAGGGTCTGCTGGTATATCTAACAGCCTAGATTATTATTAGGCAGTCGTTTCAAAGGACACAAAATATGTTGTTACGTGGCAAGATGATCATGATTTATTGTATTTTAAAAAACAAGTGTAGAATGTTAAATACAGTGTGCTTTTTTGGTATGCATAGATATGGATAAAAATCTGGATGGGTTTACATCACTATCTTAACAAGAATTGATCCTGGAGAGAGAATTATGAATGCCTTTTACTTTCTTATTTTTGCTTCTCTGTGTTTAAATTTTTTCAACAATAAACATGTACTTCATTTAAAATAAAATTATATTTAGTTTTAAATTTCAGGCTTTCTTACTTCCCCTTCTCTCCCTCAGTTGATCAGATCTGTGCTGCAGGGCACTAGAAACAGACAGCATTCACTAAAAGCCAGTTAACAAGTATTAATACTTTTTGAGTATCTACTATTGCCCAGGCACTATTCTAATCAGACGGATAAAACTGCCCTCAGAGAACTTAACTTTAGTGGAGGATAGACCCAAAATAAACACACGAAGAAGGGAGAGTAGACCCCACATCCAGAAAAGATGAACATTTCTATTCCTCCTAGCAACGCTTGCTTCCCACTCCTACAAGCACCCTGTAGTCTGAGATCCAACGTCATTTCTTTGGATAAAGGCCACTTATCTTGTAAAGTGAACAGTCTGCTTAAGTGTAACATGCTGTGTCAATACTGGTAATTTATACCTTGGTGTGAGTCATTTCCCGAGAGTAGATTATCTGACCGTGGAGGGAAAAGGGCTGGGAGTGAAAGTACCCTGAAGAAAAGACAGGGGAGGGGAGTGGAGAAGGAATCTGGTTTCAAAGCTTCCCAATTTTAGAAAAGTAGAGGATGTGAAAGTGGGGTGGGGTGGGGTGGAGTCTTGATGTGCAGCTGACACAAGCAGGGAAGGAATGTGCAAGTGGGGTCAAACTTTATACATTTCTCTAGGTTTTTAGGAACTGATCTTGGTTCTAGCAGCTTCTCTATAGATCCAAACACAAATGTCACTTCCTCTCCTCTTTCCTTTTCATTTTCTCTTCCTCTGACTTCCTGTTTTATTGTTCACCAGCAAATCCACCTTTTTTTTTTTTTTTTTGGGGGGGGGGATGGAGTCTCGCTCTGTCGCCCAGGCTGGAGTGCAGTGGTACAATCTTGGCTCACTGCAACCTCCCACTCCTGCATTCAAGTGATTCTCCTGCCTCAGCCTCCTAAGTAGCTGGGACTACAGGTGCCCGCTACCATGCTCGGCTAATTTTTGTATTTATCGTAAAGACTAGGTTTGGACACATTGACCAGGCTGGTGTCGAACCTCAGGTGATCCGCCTGCCTCAGCCTCCTGAAGTGTTGGGATTGCAGGTGTGAGCCACCGTGCCTGGCCAAATCCACCTTTTACATGTTGTTGTTGTTTTTTAATTTTTTTTTTTTTAATTTTTGAGATGGAGTCTCGCCTTGTCACCCAGGCTGGAGTGCAGTGGTGCCATCTCAGCTCACTGCAACCTCTGCCTCCTGGGTTCAAGTGATTCTCCTGCCTTAGTGTCCTGAGTAGCTAGGACTACAGTCATGTGCCACCATGCCGGGGCAATTTTTGTATTTTCAGTAGAAGATGGGGTTTCACCATGTTGGCCAGGCTGGTCTCAAACTCCTGATCTCAAGTGATCCACCTGCCTCAGCTTCGCAAAGTGCTGAGATTGCAGGCATGAGCCACCACGTCCAGTCAAAGTGTAGTTTTAGTGTTATCTGTGCAATAAGGCTTGATCCTTCCACATTCTACCTCTTTCCTCACTCCTAGTTGGGCAGAACTTCTGACACCACTTTATCAGATAACAATACTCCAAGTTAATCCTATGCAACAAAATTACTTTCTACATTGAGTTGTAGTTATAAAAGTAAACAGTGTCTCGCTTACCGGAGAAGATGATCGTTAAGGGTAGGGCCTACGCTTATGAATCCTTGCATGGTTCAATAACAACGTTAAGGAAACACCAGACTAAAGTCATTATCCTCATGATGGCACAGTCTGTGGTACATATTAACACGTTTAATAAGTATTTGTTGGATGAATTGAATGAATGAACGGATGAACCCAAAATTTGCTTCTTACAGGTGCCACTCAGCCATCCATGCTGGAATTTGACTCAACAGCAAGTTGCCAGGGAAACAGCCAGATAAGATCCCGCGACATTGCTTTGTTCCATTCCCACTCTCACTTCTAGACCACATCACCCGGAAGGAGACAAAACCCTGGATCTGGAAGAATTTGGGATGCTGGGCAGTATTTAACCAAATGGTGAAAGAGAGGGGCTAGCTGCCAGTCTGACTGTCTCGGTGGAACCAATACTGCAGTAATCATATGATAATCTTGTGTATATCAAAAGAATATTTGATTTCCTGAGGGCAGTGGAGAGTATGAGAAAGAAAAATATGCCTGGATGGAGACATTTAAAATAGTAGCTAGGTGTTTAACAGCTGCGTTGAATTTAATATGTTTCAGTTGCATGCCTGCTAAGACTCTCCTCCCTCCAACCAGACTCAATTGTCTTTTAAGGCGCTTGAGCTCTAGCAAGGAGAGAGGTTTGAACCTCTGGCATCTATATTTATAGACTGTTAGAGACATGAGAGCAATCACAATAATTCCTGCAGTGAATTTCCTCCCCTCCTGTAACCTAAATAAATTTCACCCAGCAGTGTGGGTACTCTAATCCCTTCCTCACGCTTGCCATATCTGACACCCTTTATTGTTTCCCTAGCAACTGCACAGCATGCGGAGGCTATAAACGGAGCAACAATAAACAAAATGAATTACAACAAAGGTGTCTAGCTGGTAGAATTAGCACAGTGGAGGGTGGAGGGGTTTGATCTCACATAGACTTTTCTAGTATTTCTCCTTTTCTCCTCTCTAAAGCCCTTTGGCTGGGTTAGTTCTCATAGTGCTATAGAGCTAGCATTGATAACTCCCAGTTTTTGGAAAGCTAGCTCGAAAAGAGATCAGAGAGTTAAGAGTGACTTTTCCTAAGGCCAGGCGCAATGGCTCATGCCTGTAAACCTAGCACTTTAGGAGGCCGAGGCAGTGGCTCACTTGAGGTCAAAGACCAGCCTGGCCAACATGGTAAAACTCTTTCTCTACTAAAAATACAAAACAAATTAGCCTGTGCGCACCTGTGATCCCAGTGACTGGAAGGCTGAGGCACAAGAATCTCTTGAGCCCAGGAGGTGGAGGTTGCAGTGAATTGACATCGCGACACTGCACTCCAGCCTGGGTGATAGAGTGAGACTCTCTCCCCACCAAAAGAGAGTGACTTTTCCTAAATCATGAGGCTTGACCCTAATTATTTTTTCAGATATTTTGCATTTAATTTTGTTATTGCTATTTATTTCCAGTATTCCAGTGGTACCACCAACACCGGACAACACTCAGAGAAGGTGGTGTTTATTACATTTTAAAAGGTCTAGTCTTAATACATGTTAGAGTTGAGGCATCTGGTCCTGCTTTGTATAATTTCCTCGCTCTATTCCACATCATGAGCTTTGTTCTTTGTTGGGATCTTTTGTTGTTGTTGTTTAGTTCCTTATCAAGAGTGACTAAAATATAGCAACACATACCTATGGGGATATGATGTAATCATTTTCCTTCGTCATCCAACATTTATTGTGTTCCAGGCACTGATCTAGGCCTTTGGAATACCGAAAAACAGATGAAAATCATGCATACCTCTTAGCTGGGAGAAGAACAGTAAATACTAACTACAGTAAATTACACAGTATACTAGAAGGTCACTCTACTTTATTTAAGAAAATAAAGTGGAGTTAAGGGGGAGGGAGAGCGGGACACATTTTAAATTTAAAATTGAGTTTGCAGGGTGTGCCACACTGAAAAGGTGACATTTGACCAAAGGGTTGAAGGAAGTGAGGGACAGGGTAATCTGGATCTTTGTGGAAGGGTTTTTAGACAGACGGGCCCAGCTGTGGCAAAGGCTCATGGTTGGTGGCAGCGTGCCTGGTGTGTTTGTGGTGGAGTGTGAGCAGGAGAGCTCAGGCTATGGCATGGAATGCATGGCAGAAGGAGTAGGAGATGCAGCTGAGGGACAGCAATGGGGTAGGCTTGTCAGGTAAAAAGAGGACTTCGACTTTGAGGCAAATGAGACGGTTCAGAGGATGTAGGCAGGGAAAGGACATGCAGTTTTTGTTATAAAAAATCTTAAAGAGAACAGGAAGAACATTTAGGAGGCTACCATAATAAACTAGGCTAGAGATGGTGAGGCTCTGACCTGGTGGTGGCCCTGGACTGGGGTAGTGTTCAGATTCTGTGTGGATTTTGAAAGTATTGCTAAAGGATTTCCTGATGGATTAGACGTGGAGTAAAGAAAAAGAAAATCTCAATATGATACATATGTATGTTTGCTTGGTTATAATGACGCGTGTAGATAGAATACATATGAAACCATTAATAACAGTTACCCGGAGGTCAGGGAAGGATAGAAGGGGAGGAGACTTGGCCTTATAGCTAAGTGTACATTTCCGTATTGTTTGGCCTGTTGCAAATCACACTGTTGTTTTTGTGGTTCTAAAGCTCAACCCAACAACTTATTTGTAAAAAGACTATCCCTGATGCTCATGTGACTTAACCTTCTCACCTGTGTTTACATCTTGGTGGGGCTCACTCAGTAATTTGTCCCTGGCCCATTCCCCAGTCCTGAAAGCAGAGCTTTGGCTGTCCGTGCTGGGTTTTTCCACCATCTGCCAAGTGCTTGGCACTGTAGAGAATAATATGTACCTTTGACCCCACATATATTAAATACAAATAAAGAGGAAAAAAATCCTCTCTGAACACTTTTGCCGTCTGTGGTGGCACTGAGGGCTATAGAGAAATGCCTCAAGCAATTTGGCCAGCCAAACGCCTGTGGCTACACGCAGTTGCTTCTTAATACCTAGCATCATCAATACAGAACCAAAAATGAGGCATGATCTTCCCCAGTCTCTAAGCTATGAGATGGAGACTGAGATGGGCTTGCTGACATTTCCTCTCCCTTGAAATTTCTTTCTTACATTTTCTTTTCTCTCTCTTTCTTTTCAGCTATTGCAGGTCTGACGAAGCAGACATGAGACGCACAGAAGACAGCTGCTGCTTTGCCCTGTGACCAAGGTCCTCCCCAATCATTCCTGCTCTGCTTACAGAATTATTATCATGGTGAAAGGAAGGAGTGCTTTCCAAAGTGTGAAGAGTTAGGTAGCGATTGTTTATCCCTTCCATGTGGGCTGGGGGGAGTCAGGGAGGGTCAATTTGCTATCCACATTCAGCATAAAAATAGCTCCAGTGTGCTAAAAATATTTGTCATCCACACAGAGAAATCTGCAAGTCCTCACCACGGAGCCTTGAAAAGGAGGTCACAGAAATATCTGGAGCAAAGGACTTCCTCTCACTTGTCTCACCCAATAGCAATCTTAGAATAAAGGTTTCTCGCTCCTGGGCCAAGATCTGGGTTTTTGCATTTTTGCATCAGATTTTGTTCCGTGTTCTGCTTACTCTGCTTAAATGCATGTGCAAATGAGGCACTCAGCATCACTCCCCATGAACCGAAGATTCTTCTGGGCACGTTGGCACATCATCACACCCAGAGGGACAGTTAGCACTCCCCTTGTCAGGTGTTGCTTATTCGTCATCAGATTTGCCAGAGCCTCCCAGGTGGCATTCCCACCCAATGCTGCCGTTCTGCACGCAGGTCCTGTTTGGTACTGTACGACTCTTGACCTTTTACTCTTCTAGTAGTAGTTTAGTTTGTGATGAGTTAAACACTTCCCTTTTAATAATTGTAAATGACTTCTATTTATATTTGCTTTCGTGAAAGATGTTTTAGTAGCCAAGGCAAGCCTTTTGCAAGTCCTCAGCACTATGTGTCTTGAGTTTACAAAGCACACTGATAAGAGAGAACTTAGGCCTGGAGCAATGCACTCCTTTCCCTTTTCTCTTTTTTTCCTTTCAATGTGTACAAATTCAGTTGTTGCCAATTCCCTAAAAATAATTTTCCTGGAACTTCTCTTATTTGCGACAAAACTCCTAATTTCTTCTTTCAGCTCCGTTTTTGATTTTTTTTTTCACTGTTTACTTTTACATTTTTATTTATTTTTCCCATTGATTGTACATATTAAAAGAAACCAAAGCTGGTTCCTGCTCCCATCTATTCTAACTGAGGGTGTATTACTCTGCTACTAAAAGAAAATGACACTATATTCCTAAAGAGTATGCTGGCTCTGAGAACTTGGGTGCCTTCTCACACTGTCTTAGTTACACTTGGAACTGTAACTCTCAGGCAAAATTGAGTTTGACTCTAATGCTTACTCACTAAATAATCTATTTGTTATTGAGTTTCAAACTACACAGGCTTCTGATTCCCCCGACTTAACTTCATTATTGTTATTTTTCTTTTTTGAGACAGAGTATTGCTCTCTCACCCAAGCAGGAGTGCAGTGGCACAATTTGGGTTCACTGCAACCTCTACCTCCCAGGTTCAAGACACTCTTCTGCTTAAGTAACAGAGTGAGTCTCTGTTTCAAAAAAAGAAAAAAAAAGAAAGAAAGAAAAAAGAAATGTGTTGCTCACAGTTTGGAGGCTGGGAAGTCCAAGATCAAAGTGCCAGCAGACTCATTGTCTGCTGAGGGCCCGTTCTTCATAGATAGCTATGATATGTCCTCACATGGCTGAAAGGAAAGGCATCTCTCTGGGACCTTTTTTATAGGGTATGAGTCCCATTCTTGAGGATGGAGCCCTCACGACCTAATCATGCACCAAAGGCCCCACCTTCTAATCTGATGATTAGGTTTCAACATACGAATTGGGATGGGGATCAGGGAACAATCAGACCATAGCAGGAGATGGTTGTGAATTGTAAAATGTGTTTGTATCTTCAGAGCAGAAGGTCTCCTAAGGTGAAAGTGTTACCATGGTTGTTATAATTAATAATAACTGACACCTCAGCAACATGAACATATGTGGACTCTTTTAACTTCTGCTTATAATGTTTTTGGCATAGGTTTTCTGTGCACCAACTAAATGCATACTCTGGTGGAAAGACCCCTGAAGGATCTAACTTGAGTTTTGGCCTTGTATGAAGTCAGTCAAATGACTTTGACGTGTATGAAGTCAGCCAAATCAATTGATCTTGTTTTGAAGCCTGTAGAATCCATAATCCAGAAAAAAATAATGATAATTTTACCAGAAAAGGGTTTTCATTTTTTGAGAGAAGATATTTGGGGAAGACTGATCCATATAATTTCCGTGATATCAGGTGATTGTCAACTCTTTACTCTCCTTTCTGCAATGTTGATAAGGATAATATTAAGGAATTATAAATTAATTTATTTATAATTGTTTCTGAAAAAAACAAAGAAAGGGAATTAAATACACAGGATTATTTCCCCAATTTTAGAGACCATTGGGGTCTAAAATAAAAATATTAAAAGTCTGTCTTATCTAAAACTTTCATAAATTTCTAGTAAATCAAAGTCGTAAATATAGTGGTTAAAAGCCAGAGTGTCTGGGTTCCAAGGTTGGCTGTGCCACATGGGTGACCTTGGAGAGTTGTTTAACATCTACTTTCTCATCTGTAAAATGGGAATGATAGCAATAAGCAACTCACAAGGCATTTGAGAAGATTTAATAATGTTCATTGTTTCTTGAGCATGTCCTGCTTACTGAACACTTTCTCTTTCTAAACACTTAATTTTCACAACAACTTCAGGAGTGTCATTGGTATAAATAAGTGAAGCCATGCATGTAAGGCCCTTAAAACTGGGCCTGGCTATTCTAAGATTCAATCAAGGCTACTTAGTATTTTGCGTCCATAAAGAGGGGGCAAAGTGAAGTCAGTATGCCTTGGAGTGAAATAAAGAATTTAACCGGGGCGGCGGGGAGTGACGGGGGAGAAGGATATTTCAATGTAAGCCAACATCCATGATCTTACTTTTGAAAGTATTTCATCTGAATTGGTCATCAAGCTTCTGCTAAATGAAATCAGCTGGAGAGCTGTAACTTAAGATTATAATTAAAGGGAGAATTAAAGCATAGAGACCTCACAGAATGCTATGCATGCTGGCTTTTACTTTCCTTCTTTCTAAATGCACCTTAAGAGTATATTGGATTAAAATGGTGAAAAAAGCAGTGACCCAGGAGTTTGTGACCAGTGTGAGCAGGCTGGATAAAATTCAAAGAGATGAAGGGGGCTTAAAAAAACACTAGGGCAGACTTCCAGTTTCTGGTCCAGCACATAAGGAGCTTGGAAGTCACCACTCTTGTCTTAACAAGTAAAATGCTGAACAGACTGAAAAATCAATAACAGAAGCGAGGTCACAGGGCAAACTGCTGTCCCCCAGTTGGAGAGACAGACAGGCAAATACAGAGAATCACAGCTTACTAGAGCAGAAATCCAGGAGCAGAGGCTTCCATGGGAATCTGTGCTGGGGTAGAAAGACAAAACTGTGATGGACCAAAGCTGGAGGCTCAACGTGGACAACCTGATGAGTTAGAAACTTCAGGGGGATCCAGCCATGATTGGGGTAGGGGGCACACTTGTCTCAGTTTTACCTCTAGTAATGTAACCAGATTCTCACAGCGAGTAAGAAAAATTCCCTCATGCTTCTGGCAGGGGGAGGGGAAAAACAGCCATTTGGAAAGATGCGACAGCATTTTGTTCTTCTCAGCAAGGCCTGTCCTCAGGGAAACTATTAAACCAGAGCCTCACCTGCTGGGATTTCACCAGAGCCTAACTGATCTGGGAGAACGGAACTACCTACCTCTAGCCTACTCTAGCCACCCTGTCCCACCTAGGAGTGGAGAAAACTGACAAGCATTTGTAAAGTTCATCATCTAGAGGCACAGTCTTGTTAAAAGACTATGACCTAATTATAAGACTATAGAATGTTTCTCCTTCCTCCACAGCTTACCACCACATTACTAATGGCCCATTTGCACCAGTTCTTTTTTCCCAGTACCTCATGACTAACTATCAAAAATTTACAAGGTATACGGAAAGGCAAACAACACAGTTTGAAAAGACAGCAAGCATCAGAACGAGACTTAGATACACCAGGGGTGTTGAAATTATCAGACTGAAAATTTAAAGTGACTATGATTAAAATGTCAGGAACCTAACAAATAAAGTAATAGCATGCAAAAATGGTTGGGCAATGCAAGCAGAGAGATGGAAATCCTGAGAAAAAATTTAAAAGAAATGCTAGAGATCAAAACACCATAACAGAAACAGAGATTGCTTTTGATAGGCTTATTAGTGGACTGAATGAGGCTGAGAAAGAATCTCTGAACTTGAGGATTTTTTCAATAGAAACTTCTGAAACTGAAAAGCAAAGAAAAATACTGAAAAAAAAAAAAAAAAAAACACCGAGAACACAATACCCAACAACTGTGAGACAACTAAAAAGGTATTCCATGCAAAATGGGAACACCAGAAGAAGAAAGAGAGAAAGAAACAGAATAAATAGTGGAAGCAATAATAACTGAGAATTGGCCTGGCTCACACCCGTAATCCCAGCACTTTGGGAGGCCCAGGGAGTTGGATCACTTGAGGTCAGGAATTCAAGACCAGCCTGGCCAACATGGCGAAACCCCATTTCTACTGAAAGCACAAAAAAATTCGTCAGGAGTGGCGGTGTGCACCTGTAATCCCAGCTACTCGGGAGGCTGAGACACGAGAATTGCTTGAACTCAAGAGGTAGAGGTTGCAGTGAGCTGAGATCGCACCACTGCACTGCAGCCTGGGCAACAGGGCAAAACTCCATCTCAAAAAAAAAAAAAAAAAAAAAAAACCTGAGAATTTCCCCCAGATTAATGTCAGACACTAAGCTCAACCTGATAAAAGATATGTATGGAAACCCTACAGCTAACATCATATTCAATTATAAGAAACTAGAAGATTTCCCAACAAGATCAAGAACTAGGCAAGGATGTACCTTTTCACCACTCCTTTTCAAAGTCATACTGAAAGTTCTAGCTAATGCAATAGGATAACAAAGGAAACAAAAGGTATACTGATGAGGATAAAATAAATAAAGCTATCTTTGTTCACAGATGATATGATTGTCTGTGTAGAAAATATGAAAAAAATCAACCAAACAAAAACAAAAATCCTTCCTGGAATTGATAAGCAATTATAGCAAGGTTGCAAGATACAAGGTTAATATAAAAAATTAATTGCTTTCCCTTATACCAGCAATGAACAAGTAGAATTTGAAATGAAAAATATAATACCATACTGTTTACATTAGCACCCTCAAAATGAAATACTTAGGTGTAAATTATATAAAATATGTAAAAAATATGTATGAAGAGAACTACAAACTGCTTTAAAAAATTAAAGAAGAGGCCAGGCACAGTGGCTCTACAGCCTCGGTAATCCCAGCACCTTTGGAGGCCGGAGGCGGCAGGATCCACGGAGTCAGGAGATACGAGGCCATCCTGGCTAACAGGTGTGAAACCCCATCTCTACAAAATACAGAAAAATTAGCCAAGCGTGGTGGCGGGCGCCTTGTAGTCCCAAGCCTGCTTGGG